AAACAAAAATTCTAGTCATACCACATTGTGTATCACCTTTTTAATAGAGGTGGCCCAATTGTATTGGACCGCTCGCTATTTCTATTATCAAATCCACTATGATCGCCTGAAGCACAAGAGAAAGTCTCAGCTTAGCGTAGTTCAATCAAACGGCCTGAACTGCATCGATCATGGTTCATCCACCACATCCGAAGTGAACAACGTATCACATATGAAGTGAACAACCATTAATTATAAGCGACTTTATGACATAGAGAAGAGGGCGACTATATCTACATCAAAACTTGATCGATCTAACTTGCATAGCAGCTACTGCTTCTCTAACCACTTCCCTAGTTTGATTGAAAGGATAAAGAAAGTCTCGGCGTGGCCCGGGTTGTGTTGGTAGGTGAATATCCAGAAGTTCATTCACAAAGAGGTACAATAGCAAGTAGGGCTGCTAATTCAAGTGGGCCAAGCGGCCCGACCAATCATTCTACCATCGAAGTTGTAGGACCTATGGTTGGGCTAAGGTAAGCAGTAAGACGTACGACTGGTCTAGGAATGAAGGAGAAGCTGTGAGCAAATCCACTTCTTTGATAACTTGTTTAAGGTGTAGGAAGTCAATAACTAGGCTCAAGTCCGCCTCAGTCGAAGGGGAAGCCGAAGGTTAGTTCCACCTTTTATTGGAGAGGTGGTACACAAGTGGTATGCCTAATATTGCAACAATAACAACATAATTTTAGCCATAGTTAGAGCATCTCCAACAGTAGTAGTAAACCAAACTTTTCAAATTGAAGTTTGTTGACCTACGTGGCAATGTGACAAGCTTTGGTTGCTATTTTAATATTTTGTGCCCCCTTAGAGTCTTCAATTCAATTAATGTAATGTTATGAAAAATAATGAAAAATATGAAAACATGTGGAAAATGTCTATGTATTTATTGTTTGAAAAGAAAAAAAAAAGTTTTTAACATTTTCAAGGTAGGTTTTGTTTTTCCAAAGTTATATTAAATGTTTTGAAGAGCCAAAGTCAACTTATCAGTACTAAAGATAGAGAAAAATGTTGCAGCTTTGATAATTGAGTTTGACAAGGCTGTTGGAGATGATTTTTCTGATGTAGCTCACCTATTTTAGAATTTCAAAGTTGTTGAAGAGTTTGTTAAAGATACTTTTTCCATGTCAAAATTGATCCACAATCCTTATGGTTTCAAAGAATTTTGTTTAGGAACAAGTCCTTAAAATTCTAACAAATTCCATGAGGACTCTTTGTGGGTTTTCACACCTGGCTTCAGTTTTTATTTTGAATAATGTTCTTGTGTCTTCTTTTCTCATTAGAATTTTGTGGTAATTTTGAAACGCATGAATAGTTTATGTATAAAATGTTTTTATTGTGAAAATGGCATCATCCAAATTTGGTTTGTTTTCTATATATAACATATCAAGGTGATGGGAGTCAATTGAGATATTGGAGAAAATTAATAGAAGAACTATAATTGATTATTGCAACATCCCTACCATACACTTCACTTCAACATGCACTGGAACCTCAAATCATTCCCTGCAATTGGAATGAGAACAAAATTTAATAGCTTAGTCCATTAATTCAGAAAGTCATGAAATCCATATCAATCGAGAAACAATAAAATTCAGATTCATAAGTGATTATTTTGAAATTTTTAAAAGGCCAGCTTGTTCGGTAAAATATATAAAAATCACTTATTATAAATAATTCTTGTGAGGGAAAGCAATTAAGGAACCTCAAAAATGCCACACCCACTACTTTTATCTTCTTTTAAATTAAACCCAACAATCTCTACGAAAATTTCTTGCAAAAAGGAGGATAGACTGTCCATAAAGCTTTCCGTTTTGTACGGCTGGTTGTGACAGAGAGAGGAGAAGTCAATCCTCACTGTCACGCCATGGGTGTTCCATTATTGCGGAAGTTATGAAAAGATATAGGCAATCAGCAAACCCACCTTTACTGTCCGTTCACTATACTTCTCAATGTCTTCCTCATTGCCAACCTACAAACAGTCAATGACAGGGAAAAGAACCAAGTGTGAAATGAAATTTACAAATCAAAAAGTCGGAATGCACATACCTCCACTGCTCATCTGCCCTCTTTGAATAACTGCATAACAAGTTCAGTATGACAAGCAATATTGAACAAAACAAATTTTGGAAAGACACTAGTCAATCCAGCTTTTGGGTTGGAAAGTTCAACATGAAGGGTATGAAACAAATTACAATGGCTTAATTCCAGCTTCCAGAAGCCTAATGGCCCTGTAAAACATGCCTTGTGGGTCAGTGGATCAATGAATGGGTCAAGATGGATTATGGGCTCTTCTGAAAAAATAAAAATAAAAATGGATATGAACCAAAAGCGAAATCTTTTGAACCAGGGACTAAACTTCACTGGGTTGCTCAAGTGTGTTATCGTTCAGAATGGTCTGGCCCAAGATAAACCAGTAAAGCTCTACAGAAAAAATAAATATAAATATATTAATCTTTTTCGACCAAAAAATATATATTAATCTTATCTTACCGTAAACTCGAAATATTTTAATCTACTAACAGATATTAAGAAATAATAATTAATAAGATTATTTTTACAATGAGATGGTGATGCAATCTCTTATCCACAGGGATTGGTACCCATTACAAGTTTGAATTATGAAATTTCCAAATTGAACCATCCTATCCTTGCATTGCATGCCTTTTTATTATTTAGCCTTTATTTGAATCGTAAAATTTGTGTAATAATTTATATTTCTTGCATATCACTCAAATATTTCGGAAATATTTCCTGCCTTAAAAACTCAATCAAAATCGACAGACAAGAAACGAATTTATTAAGAGTTTGGATTATTATAACTTTTCTTGGAATCCAATTGACTGACAAGTGCTTATTTTAAAAGCACGGGTTTCTAACTTTTCCAACTTGCAATGCAAAAGAAGTATAGTGTAAATCCCCCACTAATTCAGACAAAAAAGTTATTTCTCCCCATTCCAAACGGAGACCAATAGTTCGAGATGCCTTTTTTTCTTCTTCTTTTGAATGTCCATTTTGGTGCTTTATAGCACAAGTCATATTCAAGACTTCAATGCTATCTGTTGTATACTTGCACTCCTTTCTTTCCTCTCTTTTCAAGTGTCGCTGTTTTGAAAGTTACATGTACCACTAAAAAAACAATTATAATTATATGTGGCCCTTAGCCTCTCAAATTTGCTTTCAAAACAAAGAGAGGCAGAAGATCCTACATCTAGTTTCAATATGTTGATGTGTTTGTTTCTATACGAGAAAATAGTTGCAGACGTAAGTTTGGTTAATTGATAGGAGAGTGAGTCCATTCTATTCACCTAAATTCGAATGATTCGTATAAATTACATTAATTTATAGTAGTTTAAACTATACTAATTTGAATAAAAGGATTGAATTTTTACAAAGACAAAGTCAAAACAAAAAAGCGAAAAAGGAAAAATATTGGACCGACTTAGTCCTTCTCTTGCACGAAATCGTTGTGATGGTATGGGAGGGAAGAGTGGAAAGTCTCAAAGTCAAGGGATTGAATTGATATATCATAAATTCCGGTTTGATAATTAAGAAAATAAAATAAAATAAAACAGATAATCCTCTCCCTGTTTTTCTGGCCGGGGACACATGTTGGGATATGAGTGACGATAATCTAGAGAATTTTTTTTTCTTCCTATACAAGCGATATTGTGAGAAGCGAATTTTTCCACACATACTGATACTGTCAATGTGTTATTGGATACTTTGCTGTAAATCCAGATCCTATTTCACTGGACTAAATCCGTTGGCCCGATAATCCAGAGGTTTATCTCCCCTGCGATGATTTGCTCATGCATGATTACGTGGAACACTGGAGGGTTAGTAGCTTTGTCTCCAGTTTTGATGGCGTTCATGAATTAAATTGTTATTTTCTCGCTGGCAATTTGCTTGAAGGGCTCGGCTCCAGTATGGCGGCTAAATCTTTGACGGCTAAAGGATTTGCTTATTTGGTTAATTTCATAAATATAACCAATTAGATTTAATTTATCTGTATTTTAAACTTTATATTTTAGGAAAATTACAGCATGATTAGTTTTCTTTATGGTAACGACAGCCTCACTCCTTGAGATTTAAGTGTGTTTCCTTATATATCCTTCGGTAATTTTCAATCCAAAAGATCCTTGTTCATTTATTGCAAGTTTAATAAATCCACTTGTATTAATAATTTAAGCATACTTTAAAAGGAAAATTACATTTTTCATCACTGGAGTGAGGGTTAAATTTAATTTTGGTCACCAAAATTTTAATTTTTCAATTTTGGTCACCGTATTTGTAGCTGTTAGCAATTTAAGTCATTTCATTAATTAAAAAATATTTTTTAAATATTAATCTTGCCAAATGATCAATTAGATGTCACTACAAATTTGATTTATCCAATCTTAAGCACCGAATAAGTTCAGTGGGAACCGAGCTGATTAGCCAAGCCAGAGTATATTATTGCACAATGAATTTCCACAACTGCCTTCCCAAAAATTAATTATCTTGACGTAGACCTTACCATCAAACTCATCTCCGGTACGTCCGATCACACCAACGAATAAGTTTCTTCAATCTCCACCGTCCCAGCCGAAACCTCCCAAACAAAGTGTCACCCCTATCACGACTCCATCAACCATCCAAATTCCGCCACGTCACCAAACGCACACCAATCACCGGCTCCTCGTCCTTCCCGCTCCCTCCCAGGACCACATACTTATCAAATCCCAAATCGAAACCGTCAACACCCCGGGGCCCACCGAAATCAACGCCCCAGATTGACCGCTGCGATTTCGCAGAACATAACGTTATAAATTCCCATGAAACGCGCTAAAGCATTTCTCTCTCTTTCTATTTCGTTTCCTTTTCCTCTCCCTCTGCGTTTCTTCGAGCGAATCGAATTCCCGGATCAATTCCACGCCCTCTCTCTCCGTCGCTCGCTCTCAATCTCCACCGTCGATCCGTCAGCCATGTCGACGGCGGAGATGGAGCAGCTGACCTCCGGAGCCAGCAACCGCATCATCCCGCTCCTCAAAACCCTAAGGACGGTTCTTCTCTTCGTCCATACCTTCTTTCTCTCCCTGCTCCTCTTCATCCTCCCCCGTCGTCGCCGCCGGGGAATATCGGAATCTCTCCTCGACGCGCCGTCGTCGAAGAAGCGGAAGTCGGCGTGGAAGAGAGAGGAGGAGGACACTCTCAGGCGGAGAGCGTTGGCCGAGTGCTATAGCACCGGAGACGGGCACTGCCCCTACCGTTCGGCGACCTTCTTGTTCTTCGGCGGTAGAAACAACGCCCTCTTCTGCCGGTCGTGGGTTCCGGTCTCCGGTACACCGAGGTAAAATTCTCATTGTTTCTATTTTATATCTATTATTGGTTTTGTTTTATTGAAATTTTTTTTATGGTTAAATTTTCTGAATCCTTGCGCTGCGTCGTTAAGTTTGTTTTAAACTAAAATAAGTAGCCAAATTTTTTTTTTTGGGGAAAATATGCAAATAGTAGTCGTTTTTGTTTTGCTGATACAATTGTGGCGCACCAGGGAGTTACAGTAGAGGAAATGAATAAGGGGCTGTGGTGCTGATTTTGTGTGTTTTTCCCTTCGTCGCTTCTCTTGCATGTACAGTTTGGGTTTCTTGTTGCTTCTATTCTGTATGGTCTTCACAAATTTGTTCTCGTTGTCCCAACTCTTGAGTACTTTTGCTCTGTAATTTCAGGGGCATTTTGATCATCATACATGGGCTTAATGAGCATAGGTAAATTGTTCAGGAGCTTTTTTTTGTCTTCTTCCTTTGATTGTTTTTTTTCCTTTTTCAAGTGAAGTTTTTTTAAAATATGTATTTTTTGTTCACCTTTGTTTTCAGTGGAAGATATGCTGATTTTGCTAGGCAACTAACCTCCTGCAACTTTGGGGTATATGCAATGGACTGGATAGGTAGCTACATTTTTAAGATTGTAGGCATTTTGGCTCTTTCACTTTTGTAGTTCAAAATGAACATCAATACTCTTAAAGTCAGGAAGAGATTTATACCAGAGAGTTCCAACTCGCCTTCTTCCTTTACCTTCTGAGTCCAATGGAAGAACGTTTCCCAGACGTATGCAATAGATGCTTATGATAGAAAACATGAACATGGCTACTCAATTCTGAATTATTTCATAGGTTGTTAGGTTACATTTATATTAATGTATTGTTCTGTTTGTGGTAGGTCATGGTGGCAGCGATGGATTGCATGGATACGTCCCTGCACTTGACTATGTTGTTGCTGATACTGTAAGTTTAGCAGCAAATTTTCCGTTCTATTATAAATCATGGAATTTCATTCAACTCAGCATGAGTATCCCCTCATCGCAATATATAGGATTTTCTGTATGAACATAGTATCTATAGACGATGGTGGGAGCATAGTTTTCTCTCATTTCTTGTACTTTTGGTTCTAAGCGTCTCTTTTATTTTGAACCCCATTATGGTGGTGACCCTGAAGCTTGACAGTTTGATCCTCTTTTAATAGGTAGCTTTCTTGGAAAAGATTAGGTTAGAGAACCCTGGAGTACCATGCTTCCTCTTTGGTCACTCAACGGGAGGAGCTGTTGTTTTGAAGGTATGCCATAAAATAATGTACTGAGCATCCAGCTTCATTGATTTTGAATTCATCGTTAAAATTGTTGAACCTTTGTGTAGGCGGCATATTCCCCTCAAATTGAAGGAGTGGTAGAGGGCATTGTGCTGACATCACCAGCTTTGCGTGTTAAGCCAGCACATCCAATTGTTGGGGTATGTTCTTTACTGCCTTACAGGCTATGTATATTGATGCTTCATCTTTTAGGCAATTTTATCTTCCCCAAGAACTCCTTTAAGATGTGTTAAACTCATAACGATGAACTAATTTATGTTCTGGTTAGGGTTGTTCATAAGTGTCATCTGATGTTTGATTGCGTTTCCACCATTGATTCATGGTTACATATTACAAACTTTTCTCTGATTGTAATCTAGGCTGTGGCTCCAATTGTCTCTTTGGTTGCTCCCAAGTTTCAGTTTAAAGGGGCAAACAAGAGGGGTATTCCAGTCTCAAGGGATCCTGCAGCATTGGTGGCCAAGTATTCTGATCCCCTGGTCTATACTGGCCCGATAAGGGTCAGAACAGGCTATGAGATATTGCGAATCTCCACTCATTTGACACGGAACTTTAAGTTTGTGAGCGTCCCCTTCTTTGTTCTTCACGGAACTGCTGATAGAGTCACTGATCCGCTAGCCTCCCAAGATCTCTATAATGAGGCAGCATCAGAGTTCAAAGATATAAAGCTCTATGATGGTTTCTTACACGACCTTCTCTTCGAGCCGGAACGTGAAGAGATTGCACAGGATATAATAAATTGGATGGAGAAGAGATTGCACAGGATATAATAAATTGGATGGAGAAGAGATTGCACAGGATATAATAAATTGGATGGAGAAGAGATTGAGGGTTGGCGTGGAAGATGTTAACGTCACATAATTCTTCACCCACCCCGACTCATCAGAAAAAAAAAAATTTGAAAATTTACCCATGTTGGAGGGGGATCCACTTTTTAGAAGCAGTTAGGCCATATATTACATTTAGATTTTGAAAGTTATTTACGTGTTTTGTGGTTTGCTTGTCATCGTCAAAATCTGTATTTAATAGACGAATTCAATTTACAGGGTGGCTTGTGATCATTCTGGTTATATATTATAGATGAATGTTCATCTTGGCCGAAAGCTATTGTTTCGTATTTTTTTTTTTACCTGTGGTACTTTTTGTCGAAAGCTTGTTTAATTCTCATTTTCTAATATCGCTTGTATAAAACATTATTGTAAAACATAGCTTGAAATAAAAAATTCAATTATTAAACATACTACGATGTTGTAGTCTTGGAATTATTTACATAATATAAACACACCAACACAAAAATATTAGCAAACAACAATTATTGTTACCCAGTGGTAGATTGAAGAGTATGCTCCCTCATCTTCTCTGCCATCAATTGAAGAGAAGAGTCAAGGTATGAACGAAAATCATTCAATCCCCACCCTTCAATCGGATCGCAAACAAACGACCACTCGATCTTGCACCCAATGCTGCCATCTCCGCCGTTGATCGGGACTACTTGCATTACCGCAACATACGACTTAAACCCGAGATTGCCCTCAATAATCTCGTAGCTCAAACACCGTTGGATTGGATCGAGGGACAGTAGCTTCTCTTTAGCCCACTTGATGGTAGACTCATCATTATCAATAGGAGCACGGGCGCAGTACCGGATCAGACCCGGTTGGCCAGGGACGCCATCGACTTGGTAACACGTGGCAATATCGGGTAACCACTTGTGTAAGCTGCAGAAATCGGCCAGGAGAGGCCAAACTTGTTCAGCTGATGAGCCTTCAAGATCAGCAGAGGCTTTGCCTTCCCATTTGGACTTGGGAATTTGATCTTCTGCCATGAGAAAGAAACAAAGGAAAGAATGGAGTGCGTGGAAATGAGAAAGTTGAGTTGAGTGCTAGCTCATCACAATTTACAACCACAAAAGTCCAAAGATTCTTTTTGCATTTGTATTTTTTTGATTCCCATATGTGATATGTGTTGAGTGGAGTGGAGTGGGATAGGTTAGACTAAAGAACAAATCATAAGAGATTTACCAAAACAACCTCATCAATATTAATTGGCGCCCAAGTGGGAAGGTCATGATTGTGTCCCCTGTTTAGGTTGAGTGTCGGTGCGTTGGATTGTTCTAGGTGATAGATTGAAAATACGAAAGAAAATCTTCCAATCTCCATCCCTTAGCCGGATCACAAACAAACGACCACTCAATCCTGCACCCACTGATGTCGTTTATGGGCACTACTTGCATTGTTGCAACATATGCGACTTGAACCCCATGTTGTTCTACAGCATCTCATAGCTCGAACACCGTTGGATTGGATCAATCACTCGAGTAGCTTCTCTTTGATTTGACCCACCTGAAGCTGGTCTCATCAGCAGGATCAGTAGGAGGAATGACCACAACAACCTCATGTTTCATGTGCATATAGTTTTTTGACAAAGCGATATATTCTAAACTATACTCTAATTTACAGAAAGATGAATGACCTTGGGTACAAGAGAGCGAATACACTATCATAGTCAACAGGCCTAACCCACATTTACTAATATTATAATTTATTGATCAGTGGCACATGCTTTTTTATTAATAAATTCATAGACATACTACAAGTCAATAATAATACACATAAAAGTAATATACCAACAAATAAAGACTAATTAAGCCGAGTCAATTAACGTTGATCAGCTAGTAGAAAGAAGAGCACGCTCCATTGTTTTTGCTACCAACGGGAGAGAAGACTCAAGAAAATCAAGAAGGTTTTCCAACCTCCATCCATCAACCGGATCACAAACAACCCACCACTCGATCTTGCACCCAAGAACGACATCATGATGAATGTCGTTTATGGGCACTACTTGCATGGTACCAACATATGAGTGAAATCCCATGTTGTTTTCAAGGATCTCATAGCTCAAACACCGTTTGATTGGATCTATCATCAGTAGCTTCTCCTTGACCCACTTGATGGTCGTCTGATCATCGGGATCAGCAGGGGGAGTTGCGCAGTACCGGATCAGACCCGGCTGCCCAAGAACTCCCCCGACTTGATAAGATGTCTCAAGTTTGGGGAACCACTTGTGTAGGTTGCAGAAATCAGCCAAGAGAGGCCAAACTTGCTCAGCTGCTGGACCTTTTAGGTCAGCAGAGGTTCTGCCTTCCCATTTTGGCTGTGTTTGTTCTTGCATGTGAGAGCTTAGCTAGGGAAACAAAGATCACATCAATGGATAATTAGAAGCTAGAGAACATGCATGTATTTATAACAAGGTTTCTCTAATTCAACCACAAAAGATTATATATTTATACAGGTGAGTGAGGTGATGAAATGGAAAGTTGACTTGACTAAAAGAAGAAGGTGATTAGGTTTACCAAAAACAATCTCGCCATTTATATTCAAATGCTTTGATTGAGTGATTGATGGCAAGTGGGAAAATTATTATAATTTTGGTATGATCGAGTCTCTGATCCTCAAATGTCACCAATTATTTACTCTCTCTCTCTCTCTCTCTCTCTCTCTCTCTCTTCTTCTTCTTCTTCTTCTTCTTCTTCTTCTTCTTTGACTTGAGCAATTATTTTATGTAAAACCAGCCTTAAACATACGAATGTTGATTAAATAATTGGACTGACTTCTTGGGGGGAACCTCAGGACTATCAGTGTCCAGCGATGCCTTGTATGACAAGCCTATACATAAATAACTGAGTCAAGTCTCATCTGCTGGCAATTTAAATTTCTTATATTGAGCTTTTTCCTTCTAGAATGTGAAGTCACATTGATGGTAGATATTCAAACATCAGGTAATTGGATCAATCATCAGTATATTCTCTTTGACTTAATTACTTGACGGTGGTGATGATCGTATCATCTTCAGGATCAGTAGGAGGAGTGGCGCATCCAGTACCTGATCAAACCCGGTTGGCCAAAGTCTTGTTCAGCTGCTGGCACTTCGAGCGGAGCAGAGGTTTTGCCTTCTCACTTTGACTGTTGGTGCTTGCATCAGATCAACTAGGCGGCAGAATAAGTGACGTGTACCTTTGTAAGGTTTGTCTGCCTCAACAACAAAAATCATAGGGATGACAATTTTACTTGCCTTACAAGGTTCAACACTACAACCATTATATAACTTGTAGGGGGTGCTAAAGGTGTGTTATGTGCCACGTGTCAGAATACGTATAGCCACGCGGTTATACTAATTTTTAAAACAAAAAAACCATACGTATGGCCGCACGGCTATACTATTTAAATACATTATATTTAAACGGTATAGCAGCACGGCTATACGATTTAATAAATAAAAAATTAAGAAAAAAGCACCCTCTTAATTTCATTAGTTTATACTTTATATATATATATATATATTAATTTTCTAGTTTCAACAAATCTAAAGTAGATACTAATTGGCCACTATATAATTTTTTAAATATATATAATTTTTATTCAATAATATGCTAGAATTATGTGTATAATACATGAATTTTGTGTGTCTTATTGAAAATGTTGTAAAATATATTAAACATGAGAAATACGTACATACATGTACAATATGAGTATTGTACATTTACTTTTTTTTTAAAACTTGAATTTTACCGAGTCTTTAAGACGTGTACATAACACAAATGTATTATTGAAAAATACGTACATACGTGTATAATAGAGTATTAAATGTGAAATTGCTAAATTCTTTATACATGTAATAAATAGAGTATTAAACGTGAAAGTAATAAACCCTATGTATATATAAAGAGTATAGCCGCTCACAGTGACGGACCCAGGATTCGAATCCCGTAGGGTCATAGTGTAAATGTTCTAAAGAAAATTTAAGAATAGGTTATTTTTCTTATCTATTTTTTCTCTTCCAAATTTTATTTCTTTCTTGGAAAATATACTTTGAATGATTTCAATTTGTCATTTTTTTATATATGTTTTTGAGTGATTTCAATTCGTAAAATTTCAAAGCAAACCTATGCCAATTAACCAAAAAACGAAAAAACCACAACCACCTAATCAACAAATGAGCAAAAACTTCATCATACATATAAATCTTAAATTTCATCCAAGCAATTACATATTTGATTTCCATTAAATTAAAAACAGCACACGTCATCCTTTTTTTTATTTTAAGAATTTAGAAATAACTTGAAATGAGAAATATCACAATAACAATAATAGTTATAGCTAAATATTTTTAACTCAATCATGTTTAATTTGGGAAAAAAATAAAAATAAAAACAATTTTAAATAGTATTGCCGCACGGCTATACTCTTTAAATAATTAAAAATTAAAACATATAGCGGCTTGGCTAGATTGTTTAAATAAAAAACGTATAGCCGATTGGCTATACTTTTTAAAACAAATATAATTAGCTAGGAAATGATACACTTTTGAATTCTTTTTTTGGCGATAAGAAAATAAAAAATAAAATTTAAATAATATATAGCTGCGCGGCTGTACTCTTTAAATATTCGAATATATTTAAAAGTAGTGTAGCCAATTAGCTAGGAAATATATATGCTTTTGTTTTTTTTAATTTATATATATATATTTATTTATATAAGTGATAATCTACTGTAGACGGATATGAAAACTTGAGTTTAAGTGGGCGAGTTCATTATCACGATTAACAGGGACATAGCTAAAATCGTAAGGTTGTGAGAGGGCCGAAATAGAAAATATAAGTATTCAAGAGTTGCATATTCTAGATAAATATTTTTAATTCAATCGTGTTTAATTTGTTTTAGAATGTCTATTAACTTAAGTACAAGTTGTCTATTACTCTAGTGATATGTAGTGGAGGAGATGTTAGAAAATTGGGGGCTCCACCACCACTACTGATAGAAATTAAAATAAACTAGAAAAGAGATATATTTAAATAAACTAGAAATTACAAGTGAGCTACTTAGAATTCTTCAATATCATCCTCTTCAACCTACATGTTTATCATTGGTAGGTTAGGTGAAACGAAAGTTCAATTTTTTTATATTTATTTAAATTTTATAAATAGGGACGACAATTTTACTTGTCCTAAAGATTCAACACTACAACCTTTATATAACTATTGAACAAAAAGCCATATCACCACTGTTATCCGTATTTTTGGTTCAATAGGCACACTAAACACAATTAGCAACCACTTACAAAGGTACACTTGATTATATAACTTTTATTCCCAATTAATAACATCCAATCCGCTATAGGTCAAAAAAATGGATGGAGTTTTATCATCCAGGTTTGACTCCTGAAAGTGGAAAAACGTTTTATTATTTTCAATTTCTTTTATCTCTTAATTTGATGCCGAATGATATATGCCTACTAATTTTCAATGATATAACTTTTATTTCCAATAAGTAACATCCAATCCGCTGTAGCCCAATAAAATGGATTGAGTTTATCATCCGAGTTTGACTCCCGGCAGCGGAAAAATCTTTTATTATTTTCAATTTCATTTATCTCTTAATTTTATGTGTAATGATATATGCCTAGTAATTTTAATTTATATAACTTTTATTCCCAATCAGTAACATCCAAACCATTGCAGCCCAATAAAATGGATTGAGTTTATCATCCGGGTTTGACTCCCGACTGCTGAAATCCTTTTATTATTTTCAATTTCTTTTATCTCTTCATTTTACGCATAATGATATATGCCTATTAATTTTCATTTATACAAATTTTATTCCCAATTATTCCAATCCGTTGTAGCCCAATAAAATGGATTGAGTTTATCATTCGAGTTCGACTCCCGACAGCGAAAAAACCTTTTATTATTTTCAATTTATTTTATCTCTAAATTTTATGCCTAATGATATATGCCAAGTAATTTTCATTTATATAACTTTTATTCCAAATCAATAACATCCAATCCATTGTGACCCAATAAAATGGATTGAGTTTATCATCCGGGTTTGACTCCAGGTAGCGGAAAAAACCTTTTATTATTTTCAATTTCTTTTATATCTTAATTTTTTGCCTAATGATATATACCTAGTAATTTTAATTGATACAACTTTTATTTCCAATCAGTAACATCCAATCCGTTGTAGCCCAATAAAATGGATTGAGTTTATCATCCAGGTTCGACTCCCGGCAGAAGAAAAACCTTTTACTATCTTCAATTTCTTTTATCTCTTAATTTTATGCCTAATGATATATGCCTAGTAATATTCAATTATAGAACTTTTATAACCAATCAATAACATCCAATCCGGTGTAGCCCAATAAAATGGATTGAGTTTATCATATGGGTTCGACTCTCGGCAGCGGGAAAATATTTTATTATTTTTAATTTATTTTATCTCTTAATTTTATGTCTAACGATATATGCCTAGTAATTTTATTTTATATAACTACTATTCCCAATCAATAACATCCAATCCTCTGTAGCCCAATAAAATGGATTGAGTTTATCATCCGGGTTCGACTCCTGGCAGCGGAAAAACCTTTCACTATTTTCAATTTCTTTTATCTCTGAATTTTATGCCTAATGATATATGCCAAGTAATTTTCTTTTATATAACTTTTATTCCCAATCAATAACATCCAATCCGTTGTAGCCCAATAAAATTGATTGAGTTTATCATCCGGGTTCGACTCCCGGCAGCGAAAAAACCTTTTACTATTTTCAATTTCTTTTATCTTTGAATTTTATGCCTAATGATATATGCCTAGTAATTTTCTTTTATATAACTTTTATTCCCAATCAATAACATCCAATCCGCTGTAGCCCAATAAAATGGATTGAGTTTATCATCTTGGTTTGACTCCTGGCAGCAGAAAAGTCTTTTATTATTTTCAATTTCTTTTATCTCTGAATTTTACGCATAATGATATATGCCTAGTAATTTTCATTTATATAAATTTTATTCCCAATCAATAACATCCAATCCGCTGTAGCCCAATAAAATGGATTGAGTTTATCATCCAGGTTCGACTCCTGGCAGCGGAAAAACCTTTCACTATTTTCAATTTCTTTTATCTCTGAATTTTATGCCTAATGATATATGCCAAGTAATTTTCTTTTATATAACTTTTATTCCCAATCAATAACATCCAATCCGTTGTAGCCCAATAAAATGGATTAAGTTTATCATCCGGGTTCGACTCCCGGCAAAGGAAAAACCTTTCATTATTTTCAATTTCTTTTATCTCTAAATTTTATGCCTAATGCTATATCCCTAGTAATTTTCTTTAATGTAAATTTTATTCCCAATCAATAACATCTAATCTGCTGTAGCCCAATAAAATGGATTGAGTTTATAATCCGGGTTCGACTCCCGGCAGTGGAAAAGTCTTTTATTATTTTCAATTTCTTTTATCTTTGAATTTTATGCCTAATGATATATGCCTAGTAATTTTCATTTATATAAATTTTATTCCCAGTCAATAACATCCAATCCGCTGTAGCCCAATAAAATGGATTGAGTTTATCATCCGGGTTCGACTCCCGGCAGCGGAAAAGTCTTTTATTATTTTCAATTTCTTTATCTTAGAATTTTATGCATGGTAATTTTCATTTATATAAATTTGATTCCCAATCAATAACATCCAATCCGCTGTAGCCCAATAAAATGGATTGAGTTTATCATCCGGGTTCGACTCCGGCAGTGGAAAAACCTTTTACTATTTTCAATTTCTTTTATCTCTGAATTTTGTGCCTAATGATAAATGCCTAGTAATTTTCTTTTATATAACTTTTATTCCACATCAATAACATCGAATCCGCTGTAGCCCAATGAAATGGATTGAGTTTATCATCCGGGTTTGACTCCCGGCAGCGGAAAAATCTTTCACTATTTTCAATTTCTTTTATCTCTAAATTTTATGCCTAATGATATATGCCTAGTAATTTTCTTTTATATAACTATTATTCCCAATCAATAACATCTAATGCATTGTAGCCCAATAAAATGGATTGAGTTTATCATTCGTGTTCGACTCTCCTGGTAGCGGAAAAGTCTTTTATTATTTTCAATTTCTTTTATCTCTGAATTTTATGCTTAATGATATATGCCTAGTAATTTTCATTTATATAAATTTTATTCCCAGTCAATAACATCCAATTCGCTATAGCCCAATAAAATGGATTGAGTTTGTCATCCAGGTTCGACTCCTAGCAGAGGAAATCCTTTTATTATCTTCAATTTCTTTTATCTCTTAATTTTATGCCTAATGATATATGCCTAGTAATTTTCGTTTGTATAACTTTTATTCCCAATTAATTACATCCAATCCGCTGTAGCCCAATAAATGAATTGAATTTATCATCTGGGTTTGACTCCCAGCAGCAGAAAAAACCTTTTTATTTGCAATTTCTTTTATTTCTTAATTTTATGCCTAATGATATATGCCTAGTAATTTTCATTTAGACATTTTATTCCCCATCAATAACATCCAATCTGCTATAGCCCAATAAAATGGTTTTAGTTTATCATCCGAGTTCGACTCCCGGCCGCAGAAAAACCTTCTATTTTTTTCAATTTCTTTTATCTCTTTATTTTATGCCTATCTCTTTGTGAAAGTTTTTAATCTCTCATTGGTGAGAGTTTTTCATCTCTCACTATGGCTTGATTTTTTCAAGCTTTATATCATTTTGATTATTCTGAATTTGCAATCTTAATTGGATGCCTATGTCAGAGTTTCTTCGATTATGAATGATCGTTAGTGGAGGCGCACCAGATTGTTTTAATTTTGATGTTAGATTTCTCCGTTATTGTAATTGTTCTTTTTGACTAGTTTGTATTAGCCCTTTGTGGATGGTGGCTTTTTAACTGAATTATAAATGCAATCACATAATCTCTCTCTCTCTCTCTCTCTCTCTCTCTATATATATATATATATAGAATTTCAAGTACAAAACTATAAACCCAGCTCATATTTTTTCACTAAATGATCCAAACCCCACCCTTCCACAGGATCAAATGTGATGGACCACTCGATCAAGCACCCATATTGAACGTCAACATCCCCACCTGGAACAACCCTAACCGTTGGTACATATGACTTGAACCCAATGTGACTTTCGACAATCTCATAGCTTAAACTATGATCAGCATCATCAACGGCTACCAATCTTTCCTTGGACCAGCTGACGGCCATATGATCACCCTTGGATGGGATTGAGGACCCGGAGCAGTATCTGATGCAGCCAGGCTCACCGTTGGCCCCTTGGACGCTATAGCAATTGGCTAGGGTTGGAAACAACTGGTGGAAGTTGAAGAAGTCTTTGAGCAGAGGCCAGATCTGGTCAACTCTGGCCTTTGTGAGCCTTGCAGAAACCGTGGCTTCCCATTTTGGCCCTGACTCTTGCCTATCCATGAAAACCTGAGAGGGAGAGAAAGTAATGTTGGAAAAGGGTAAATGATGCACATGGACTTAAATGGACCACATGGATTTTGTTAGACTATACACATAGAAGATTGGTATGGTCCTGCGTAAAAATGGCATGTACAAATTTAATTATCTTTGCCCTTTCTCTATCACACAATTTGAGGAAGCAAATGCATTTAGGATAATGTGACAACGAAGGTAGATTACCTATAAAATATAGAATATGCAGAATCAAAGTTGTGCCAGTACAAATGTATAATCAATTGATAAATCAACTATTGATGTTGATGTTGTGGTATTCTTGTTTTCACAATCATAGATATCCTCTTTAGCCCACTCAACTCTTTAGCCCTTATTATATGAGGATATTTCGGAAATACTATAATGAGGAAATAATATGGATGGATCACTGATCTGACAACCTAGCTAAACGGCATTGATCATCTTCGGGGAAAAAAGGAAGGCAACTAGGCCTAGTCTTAACATTAGCGTTTCCCCCCTAAAGTTAGAAAATGACAAAGTTGTCATGAAAGTTTCAGACGTGAGATCACTAATCTACAAATGAAAGTATTTTTTCACTGGGCCGTTGGCTTAGCTTTAGTTTTAATTCCACAACACACATGTTATTCTATATTAATTAAATGAAGAAACTCCAATAAAACAAGAAAGATAATATCAAAGTAGCTATGTCCCATTATTTGAATAGGCAAGCCTTTTCTTTTTCTCTTCCATTCAAAAACAATAAGGTCGAATCTTTTGTTGTCATCACTCAAATGTTTGAATATATAAAATAAGAGCAAAAACCTAAAAGAATACGATTCTTCGAAATCAAATAATCATAAACAGAAGTTTGGATCATCTTTGAACTTCCCAATTTGTAACTCATTTGGATGACGTTCTTCTTTCTTTGTTTCAGCTGCTGACCAGTCCGCATCTAAGTTATTTTCTGATGGAGGTTGATACATAACTAGTAATTCGACTGCCAGTGCCAACCTAACACAAGTAGGGTTATTCAAAACAAAGATGGTCCCTTGTTATAAAGATGAATAAATTGTGTAACCACCAAAAACTTCCAAAAATTTTGTTTGCCACTTTGCCTTCTGAACCTGTCAAAGATGAATAAAATTCCAAACTTGTTCGACTTTAGGTCCACCGGTGACTAAACAAGTAAAAAACATTGGATCCTACTTGCTAGATTTCATCATGATCAAATCCAACACTTGAATAAAATAGTCCAAAGTATTTTTATTTGCCTCAACATTTTGGATTTTATATTTCAAAGTACGGGATAATGTAGGGCTAAAGGGTAGGCTTACACCTAACTAAAGTTTTGCCATTCATTTTTCACTTTCTACTCCTTTATCCCCCCACTATAATTAGTCCATTATTAATAGAACTATCTTTTTTCCCTTTTTTCTTTTCGGTTTATTGACTTATTTCACTTCCTTCTAATATAATGTTGTAACCGTACATACATGAGCTTAGTCAAGTTGACTAGAGCGGATGTGCTCCCCACTTTACTCCCAAGTTTGAATCCTCTTCCCGTAATTTAGATTAGTTGAAAGTAGATCATAAAAAAAATTGTAACCGTAGCTTAAAGCAAGACTTTGATATGAACGGCTAAGGTAGATCTAGAGGGCATACAAGATTGAAATCAATGGGGGCAATCAGATGGATGTCAGTTATTTTGAGGGCATTAAAACTTAATTAAAAGTTGAAACGCACTAGTTTGTAGGGACAACGTATGCAAATTAACAAAGCATAAAAAACCCCATTAACAAAAAAGAAAAAAGAGAAAGAGCAGCGCAAAACAAAAAGCAATCATTACGCATAGTATGTTACACTTATCAACATTAAGTATAAAAATACAGTCTTTAGACTTTAGTCACAAAAAGAAAAAAAATTAGTAGAACAAATAAAAATTTAGAAATTTATGGCCCCATTCTACCCTGTCTGGCTCTTTAAATATATTCCTACCTTCACCATTTCTTCTCTCACTCATAGAACCCATCTCTGTCTCTAAGTTTTTTCTAGCCTCTGAGTTCTATTAATCTCCTAGCCCAAGAAAATGGAGCCTCCTGCTACACCAATCATTGCCAAGAAACTGAGCAACATGGTACGTCTGATTTTGTTCACATTACAAAAGGGCGTGTCCAAAAAGAAGCTGATGATGATGAAGGAGCATGGAAAGATCTTAGGCAAGTCCTTCAATGATTTCATGGTTCGCCACCACACGGCGCTCAGCTGCAAGTCACATGACGTGCACGTATCCTTCGTGTACCCCCTCGAGTACGAGTTCAGCTGCAAAAGCAGCATCCCACCTTATAGATCATCCTACACTCCTCCCTGCCACGACAGCGGGCACAATAAGGGCCGTTACGTTAGGCAGCGTTCGCGGAGGAGCGTTTACGTGCCGATGATGTGTGAGAATGTATTGGCGACGGTTAACACCGGCAGGAAAGTGAGCTTTCGCGGCAGTGATGTGGTGGAACCACTGCCGATGGTGAGGCGGGTGAGGATAACGGAGTGGGAGCCGTTGTTCCCGTTGAATATTGATGAGGAGGAGGAGGAGGAAGATTATCACGTGGACAAAGCAGCACAGGAATTTATTGACAAGTTTTATAGGGAGTTAATGTTGCAAAAATGGAGGGCCGTAGATTCCTCCCACCGATCTTAAACTGCTTTATTAGATTGTAACGATGTGTAGCTTGTGAGTGTATTTAGTGAAGTAATTACAACCCGTGCATGCTTTCTTTCATGTTATTGTACAGTTAGGATTTAACCACCCTAATGCAAGACCTTTCTTTCATGTTATAGTACAGTTACCATTTAACCCTTTAACACATAACATAGATTCGTTAAGTTAAGCTAACACATGGAGAATTATCCAACTTGAACACGAACGAACATTTTTTATAGGTCCTGCAATCCGGCAATCCGGCAATCGTGTCACATTCAATCGACTAATCATAACCAATGAATTTGGCTTCTACTACTATGAAAGCAAATGAATCTAGCTAGCTAGTAAGTACGATGTATGCATCATCTAATTGGTCCGTCTAAACCACAAGGCTTCCCATTAATAGCTTTGTTGGTTATGAAAAAGAAGAATTAGGTGGCCGGTTGCCATTAGAAAGAAAGAATCAAAATTTGCATCTAATCATTATATCATATATAGGGGAAGAAGGAATGGAAAATAAAAGAATTTTTTGGGTACCTAATATTCAGAAGGCAACGTTGTTGTGTGATCCAGAATTTAAGTAGACCAATAAGAAAATTTCTGAAGAAAAAAAAATAAGTCTTTCGAATCCCCACTCCCCTCCCCAAATATCACTGAAATAATAATAATAATAATTTTTAAAACGGAGTGTATTTATTTGTTATGGGCCGTTATTGGGTTAAGGCCTCGTAGAACTTTATTAATTAAAAACAGAGAATCAGTCTAGAGAGTAGGCGTCCGTGTAAACAGTATCGCCGAACGGCTATACTATTTTTTTAAAAAAAATTAAACACAGAGTATAGCCGAGCGGCTGTATGATTTTAAAAAAAAGACTCTATCACTTAAGCGCCACGTGTTAAAATAGGTTCCGCCGGGCGGCCGTACTATTTTTTAAAAAACTACATTATAGCCGCACGGCTATACGATTTGTTATTAAAAAAAGAGGATCAGTCTAACGAGCAGGCGCCACGTGTAAACGAGTATAGCCGGGCGGCTATACTATATTATAAAAAATTAAAAACCGCCCAATATAACCGCACGGCTGTATTATTTTTAATTATAAAAAAGACCCCTAGCGATTAGGCGCCACATGTCAAAATGCGTATCGCTGTACGATCTCTCCCTTCGATCGCTCTCGATCTCTCCCTTTGATATCTCTTCACACGTAACATGTCCGACCCTCTCCACCACAAACGTCAATACTGAGCAGTCAATCTCTCACGAAGAGCCTCAAGATCCTCATGCTGATGTTCAACCTGTCATCGAAATTACCAGAAGATAGTCCCCAAGCGTTAGAAAGCCATCAATTTCTGATGAATGTGTATGTGCAGGAGATTGAATGACATTAGAATGAAGATGACCCTATGATCTTTGATCAAGAAAGCATCAATGAAGCCCCATAAATGGGTCTTCAAAACCAATAGAAATTTTAGTGGCAATATAGAAACGCACACTTTTCTTATATTGGTTGTATTCCTTGTTTTGAGAAATCCCAAGTATCGATACATGGAGATCTATCTACTATTCTGAAATCGCTGCTTCCTTCTCTGGGATCAGGGTTGAGCCAACCCGGTTCGTTTGTTCTAAAAGGCACTCAATATACTTACCCCAAGGACTAATCGAAAGCGATTCGTCTGATTGCTTAAGGTGTCGATATATGCACCATTCAAAAATCGGATAAAAAAACTAGCAAGGTTACAAGTTCGAATCTCTCTCTCTCATTAATAAACCGAAATGATGCTATCCAGTAATACATATGTAACTAAATAGTTTATTGAATCCTTAAAACCCTATAAATTTATAGCAGACACTGATAATCTAAACCCCGTCCCAGTCAGGTATATGTTGAGATATACTGAAAGGCACAATAAATAGAATATGTTGTCCAACTAGCAACTTCCAGACCAGCCATTTGTTGTTTCACTTGAAATCACTCTAAAACAACTTCACGAAGCATGAGTGACCAAAGGGCTTCAAAGCTGCTAGTTTGGAAACTCTTATTAAACCAGGCGAGGAATTCTGGATGCAACTCCATGCGATTCTCCTTCCACACCTGTCTTAACGCAGCGCAGTTATGAATCTTGTTTCTCATCAGCTTCTCTAAAAGATTCCCAACCCGCCGTCGACCAGCTGCCTCTGGCTTTAAAACATTACCAGGAGGTTCTGCCATACACTTACGAACAACTTTTAAGCAAGGCAAAACCTGGCCTTGAAGCAAAGCATAAGCAAAAGCTTTCACTCGATCTCGAAACTGATCAAATTTATTCATTGGCAAACCAAATGGTGGAAGCTCCCACAAATGAGAACCGAAGGCTGGAATGACATAACTAAATACTTGATCAGTTAGAGGCTCGTAGTAAGGTTTGGTATCTGTTGGGGGTGCAGAGAAAGTGCATAAAGCCCGGGCATGCTCAACAAGCCATTCTGATTTTACACGAGTAACGCCGTACATGTACGGTCCTGATCTTGTCTGGATTAGCTCATTGTATACCAGAAATTCAGGGGCTGAATTAGAAACAGATGACCAAGGGTCGAGGAACACAGTCTCTTTAACCATGCAGGCTTGATATCGAACGGCACGAACTTTTCCATCTCCTAAATCAGATGACACTGATGAACTCCTTCCTCTAATGCGCTTAGCAACCCTGTCTGCCCAACCAGCACAGATGGATTGGCCCAAGAGCTCTTCCTCATACAACGAAAGAGGGTTCTTGTCATAGGAAACCCTCCAATCACGCTCTACATGTTCCATGCCACCATAGCTCCATGAAAATTCTTTCTCCCCACCAGAAACGCCACTTTGTTCAAAGACACGTTCGAGGAGCTGCTTTCTCAGCTTGGATATTTCCTCCATGGTTTTTGGGTGCAGAGCATTGTCATTGCAGAATTCCACTGGCCTCTCAGATGTTTCATAGCACTGCAAAGCATAGGCTCTGGACAGAGCATCACTGCTGGGATTGAAAAACCTTTCACGAGGCACTTTTAGAGTTTCTTTTAGTTTCTTCTTTGTCAACTTCTCTTGATTTGAATGCTCGAAAGGTGCATCGCTACAAACAATTTCATGGTTTGTAGTGTGAATATCTTCAAACTGCCTGAGAAAAGGATTTGAACAACTCAAAGATGCAACTGCTGCAACTGCATATGCTAACACCAAATTAGCTCGAGCACGATTTTTCTGTTTACTCATGATTTGAAAAATCGTAAGGAGCATCCGAGAGTGACGAGGACGCAGGGGATAACAAGCCATGGAATGCCCTAAAGGTGTTAATCTTCCATTTGTGTCACTTGCTTCAAGGGCCGTCAAGAGACGCTCTGCTTCATCCACAGCACCAGCCTCTGGAGGAGTTGGAAATGGAAAATTGGATATCTGGGATGCACAGAAGAAAAAGGTCATACGTTACAAGAGCAATACAGATGTAAAAGAGAAAACACAAGGCATTTTATTGCGGAACATAAAGGAGCAAATAACCCAATGGTAGCAAAATAAAACATATAACATTCACTGCCTAAGAACCCCTGCTATATAGTAAGAACCATCAAAATCGTTATGCAGTTACCCTTGCACCTGAGATTGTGTTCGAATCTTTGCTCCTTACTATAGCTTTAAAAAAAAAAAAAAAAAAAAAAAAAAAAAAAAAAAGATTGATCACAAAAAAAAAAAAAAAAAAGGTAATTACCTTATTTTGGAATATTCCATAGAACTTCAGAAGAAGGGCAACACCATCAAAGGGGACTTTGGGATATTTCGGGTGCGGAAAAATCAGGGAATTTGTTATAATACACTGCTTGAGAATACAGGCGGTAACAGTGGCCAGGTCCTGTTCTTCCAGCTCTTCCTTTACGCTGATCAGCTGATGCCTTGCTAATCCATTGTATTTTATATGTTTCCATGCCATTTGAATTGTAGTCCTTCACTTTCTCTTTCCCAGTATCAACAACATACTTTATCCCGCTTATAGTTAAAGAGGTTTCAGCCACATTTGTGGCTACAACAACAAGCCGTTCTCCCTCCTTCACTTTTTCTATTTCTGTAAGTTGAGCTTCTGCATTCAGCCTGGCATAAAGAGGGACAACATGCAGTGCGCCTAGAAAACTACCCTTTTTCCCAGCTGAATTGCAGCACAATGAAGATTTTCCAGCCCAAGAATCGAAACCAGCTTTCGGTGATACAATGCCACCATCCTCTCCTACAACCTCGGCCACAGTTCCATCAACTAATCCTGGGGTATCTTGGCACAATGAATCCCTATTGTCATCGCGAAAAAATTCTCGTTCACTTTCTGTTTCTGAATCATGCGAATAACCCTCCAACTCATCCTCAACAGAATCAATATCAGAAACTTCATCAGTATCACTCTCAACTGATCTTTTCATAAGTTCCCTTGAAGCTCCTTGTAGCTTTCGACACAAGCGCTCAACTTCTCGCTTCCCAGTGACAAACACAAGTATGCCCCCATGTGGCAGTCTCTTGTGAATCTTCAAGACTTTTTTACATGCTTTCTCAACATAATCCCCTTCTTCCTCGGTTCTGTTTTCGTAGTAAGCTTTTACTGAAAATTGTCTAGTGGGAACTTCTATGATCGGGGGCTCACCAAACAGCTTTCTGATAAAGTCTTCTCGCAAGGTGGCACTCATCAGCACAAGCTTTAAAGGGAAAATCTGTTGTTCACGACTTACGTTTTTCCCCAAAAGCACCGCCTTTTGCTGGTTTTCATATTCTTTCTGCCATCACATGCAAAAGATTATGAGAAATTAACCGTGATTAATATAACTTTTAGCCATAAGCACTGCTCTCTAGCTCACCTGACGCTGTACAATAACACGTGAAAGCATTCCGATAAGTATGTCGGTGTTCGAGCTCCGCACATGTACTTCATCAAGAATTATGACAGAATATTGCTTCAACAAAAAATCACTCTGCACAATTTGAAAAAAAAAACTACATTACACAAAGATGACTCAGTTTAATTACGCATACTCCAAAAGGTTTCATTACCAGAGGAAGCATACTAAAAGCAGGAAGTTGATTATTTGATGCTTATAAATGTTCAAAACATGACATGGATATTAAAAATATATCATTTGCTTAAAGTACCTTGAGTTCTTGTAGTAATATTCCGTCTGTCATGAATTTGATGGAGCAACTACTTTTACTCATCCTTTTGTCATGCCTAACTTGAAAGCCGACCTCTTTACCTAAATTCAGTCCAAGCTCATACGCCACTCGCTCAGCCGTGGCATAGGCTGCAACACGGCGGGGTTGAGTTACACCAATAATACCACTTCGGGCAGAATTAGAGTGGCTTGAACCGTAGCCAGCTTCAAAAAGAAACTGCAACATGTCAACCCAAATGCAGAATTTAGAACGTTCAAGATGACTTTAAAAAATTAAACATATAAAAACAATCATTACTAGGAAAATCAAGCATATAAACTAATAAGATTAATAAGCAGTCAGAATGCTTTTGATTGTCAAAAAACGCTTTTAATTCTTCCACAATCACTTCTAAACAATGCCTTGGAACAAGAATGCCAACAAACTCACCTGAGGAACTTGGGTTGTTTTACCACATCCAGTCTCTCCACGTATAATCACGGTGGAATTTTCATTAATGCCCTCCATGATCTCCTGCTCCATCATTACTATTGGAAGATCCTTCCTTGCTTCTTCAACTTCATCAGGCCTTGATACATGCACTATGGTTGGTGCAATTAGAGGCCTTGCTGCAGGAAATTCTGATAATTCACTTGTTCTGCTGCTGGAACTTACTTTTGGGCTCTCTTTTACTTTGTCCTATCAGAAGAACAAAATATACATATAAACAGTTTCAGATTTCATGCCATACAATTAAAAAAACCCAAAAAAAAAAAAAAAAAAAAAAAAAAAAAAAAAAAAAAAAAATTCACAATTCATTAGATTCACAATAGGGTTCATATTCTTCAATCTATAATTGATTGCACACCTCATGAATCTCATCCAAATCCTGCCTTGATTGAGTTTTTTCTAACTGATGATCAGGCTCAGTTTGATCACTACAAGCACAGTCACCATTATTCTTGTTAAATCCAGCTTTTGGGAATTGTATAGCTTTCCTGCGTTTTGCATATTTGGATTCAACCTACATAATAAACAAGGATATATATCAGTAAAAAAGAAGAATAAATATGTGCGGCAGCAAAGTTCAATATAAACCCGTTGGAATTTCCAAGTCAAGTTAATTAGAAGACACTCACATCACATACCTCCAACTTGTTGCGCTTTATTTTCTGGGATTTGCTCATCTTCCTTGGTTTTTCTATTGAGTTTTCCAAAACCCTAAGAAATACACTTGAATGCAATTGGAGTGTTGAGGACGAGGCATGAGTTCGTTACTTGTGAAAGGAGTTTTCCTCTTGGGTCCCAGAATCACTGATGGGCTTCATAGAAAAGTGGGCTTTATTTCTTTTAGTATTTGTGGTCCATATGAATTGATATTTGAATAGATGTATATCTATAATATTGAACATAATTGCAAGACACACTTCTAGGGGTCGGCATCAATCTGGCCGAATCGATGAAACCGGTCGAATTAAACTATAATTACTGGTTTGGTTTGGTTTTAATTAAGAATAAGTTAAATAATTTAAAAATTGAACCGGACCATATATAGTTTGGTTTAATTTGGTTTTTAGCTTTTGTAAATTAGCCTAAACCAAACTGGATCGTTTATGTGTATATTTATTTATTTATATTTTTTTTTACATGTGTAATACTCTAATTAGTTAATCACTATATATGAATATTTGAACTAAGCTATATTAGTTAGTGAAATATAAAGTTTTATGACATTTTGAGCTTTAGGATGGTTTCGTACTCTAGAAAATGAATTATCTATAAAGGAAGTTGTGAATTTGTTGGTTATAGTTGGGCTAACAATGTTAAAAAAATGCAAAAAGAAAGAGAATTGGGCTTAGGCCCAAACCGGCCGAACCAAACCGAACCAAATCGTTTTAAATTGGTTTGGTTTGGTTTGGTTTTCTTTATAACTTTTATCCAAATCGAACTGAATCAAACTATCATATTGTAATTGGTTCGGCCATGGTTTTGAGGTAAAACCAATCCAATCCGGATTATGCCCACCTCTACCTACTACTGTAGTAGTTCAAATCCTCGCGACATCATAAATTAAAAAATAAAGTTGCAAACATAATCCGCCAGAGTGTGTTGAGGTAAAATGCAGATGTTAGCTATTAATTAATTAATACTAATGCATAGAAGTAAAAGGGTCCATTTATTTTCACGGGTTTGATAATTTGAGTCAATAAAACTTTAGTTTTTGCTACAACAATTCAAAAATAATTTGAGTTAAACCCATCTCCTCCGGTCCTCCGTCCTTCCAACTTCCACCTTCTATAAAGTGGGAGCACTGTGAGCCTTTCCAAATTTTATATTGAAAATTTCCCCACATTGAAGTTATTTTTTGCCACAAGACCCCCCCATTTTAAATTATATATTTTCTCCTTTATCTTAAAACCCCCAGTGAATAATAAATCGTATAATTTCTTATCCAAATAAGAAAAAACAGTTAGTTACAAAATTTTAAGCATACTTTACGTTCCTAAAACATATATATAAAGAAATTTACAAAATAGGAGCCTGAAAAGCTTCTTTTCTATTTTGCCTCTCTCTCTCTCTCTCTCTCTCTCTCTTTCTCTCTCTCTCTCGCTATCTGTTTATTTTCTCTTTCGCTCCTCCGCTGTAGAAAATCTAGAATCCCCTTCTTCTTTCCAATTCGTTTCCCTCCACAGATCTCCAAATTCCATCTCTCCAACCCTAAATTCATCTTCCCACACTCTCTCTCAACAATTCACACTGATCCATTTTCTGTGCACGGATGATTCTAGAAACTTCCATGAACCTTCCCGGTAAGGCTCCTTTCGCTGCTCTCTTCATGGACCACCGCCACCCTTACCATGCCTGAGCTGCGTAGCAGACCACGCAGAACCCGGGCACCCAAAAACCCTGACCCGATTCTGAACCAGAACCCGAACCCGATCACCCAGCCTCAGCCTCAACCACCTCAGAAGCTAACTGTGCGGAAGAGTAGGACCGCACAGAACAAGAAGAATAAGGAAAAGAAGGCAGTTGGTGTCGGCAAGAGGAGGAGGGCCAGGGCTGGTCCGGTCATTGAAACGAGGTCGTTTAAGTTAGACGAAGAACAGGCTGGTGGTGAGGGAGCCATGGATGAGTACGATAGCGGTGGCCGCAGTGCCGATAAAGGTCCCGGAGCTGAGGATGAGGGCTTAGCTCCTATTCCCGAGAAGGTCAGTCTCTCTTTCACTGCCTTTCATTGCATTTCACTTTTTACTTTTCTATATTTTCCTGTTACTTTACGTTTGGATAATGAGTAAGCTGAGAAAATGAAGGGAAGATATACAATTTTGTGTATTTTTTTTCTCATTGCCATTTTTTGAACTGAGAAGTAGAAGAAAAATTCAAAATTCAAAATTCAAAATATAATTTTTTGTTTATTAGTCTTAATATGTCGATTTGGGCTGTGAACTCTTTGTGAGTGGGGCGTGGCAACAACGTGCAGTTTCTTTCTTAACATTGTTTGCACTGCGAACTATTTAGCATTATAGCATATCATGGTTTTTTGCTAATTGTTTTATATTCATTCTTCGATTTATTGACAACAGGTCCAGGTTGGTGGTTCCCCAGTATACAAAATAGAAAAGAAATTGGGGAAAGGAGGCTTTGGACAAGTGTATGTAGGTCGACGCATGGGGACTGGCCCTGGAGCTGTTGAGGTGTGCAATCATCTTCTTCATGGCATAACATCATTGTATAATTTGTTTCTGAAAAAGAAGAAAGACGTTATGTTGGGTTTGTATTGTTAACATAGCTGTTTGATCTAAATTTTAGGTTGCGTTGAAATTTGAGCATAGAAGCAGCAAAGGATGTAACTATGGCCCACCTTACGAATGGCAAATTTACAAGTGAGATGCTCCTATCTTCCCTTGTAGTGTGTTCGTTCTATACAAATCACATTCTCACCTTCCCAGTCGTATATTGTAACTCTTACTTAATCTTATGTGTGTACAGTGCACTCGGCGGTAGTCATGGGGTGCCACGAGTTCATTATAAGGGCCGTCAAGCTGACTACTACATCATGGTATGAGTTGTTTGCCCAAATTTCATTTTAATTGTAGTTTCTAATTAGCCAAGTTTGAGAATTTATGGAATCAGCCGTATTTGTGTACAGGTGATGGATATGCTTGGACCTAGCTTGTGGGATGTCTGGAATAACAGCTCACACACGTAAGTTTCTCCCGTCTTTATACAGAAAATGAGGAAGGTATTTTCATTTTCTTCTTGCAACACTTATATCGTGGTCTGCTGCTCTAACAATCACTTCTACCTTTTCAATTTCAGGATGTCAATTGAAATGGTTGCATGTATTGCCATTGAGGCAATATCCATATTGGAGAAGATGCACTCTAGAGGGTGATAATTTTATTTCAAATTTTCTGATGATTAGTTTTTTTCTTTTCAATATAATTAGTAGTTACATTGAGATCATTGCAAATTTAGTTCACTTATTTTTTGTGAAGATAGAATTCCATTGGTCAGAGAGTTATTTGATGTAATTCAAATCTTCATATTCTAATCCCTGTAATTGTGCCATGTGGGCTGTGTCAGTGCCACAACATCCTGATACTTCTTTCCTATATCAATGCCTCATTTTAGTGCGTGATGGATGTCTGTTTCATATGGTATATGTAGATGAGTGATGAGCAATATGTTGAATTCCTGTTAACCTGGTTTCCCATAAATGAAATAAAATGGCAATATTGAGTTGCTCTCCATGGTTTGCTTATCAAGTTATTTACAATTTCTCTGATGGTGTTCATGACAGATATGTACATGGGGATGTGAAACCTGAGAACTTTTTGCTTGGTCCCCCTGGTACTCTTGAGGAGAAGAAGCTGTTTCTTGTTGACCTTGGATTAGGTAAGTCGTAGTTATATGATCCTACTTACAGCCGAAATTACTTGTCTGAGTAGTGTACCTAATACCTTATCATCTTGTTGCCTGTTTTGACTTGACAGCCACCAGGTGGCGAGATTCAACTGGCCAGCATGTTGACTATGATCAACGACCAGATGTTTTCAGGTGAAATAGACGCTGGTTAATTATTTGACCATAAAATGTGATTTACCCTTGCAACTAAACCAAAAAACAAAAACCAACTGATTTGTATACTGATCATTAATGTGCTGCAGGGGAACGGTAAGGTATGCAAGTGTGCATGCTCATCTTGGTAGAACTGGCAGCAGGCGAGATGACTTGGAATCTCTAGCTTACACACTGATATTTCTTCTTCGTGGCCGGTTGCCATGGCAAGGATATCAGGTTCATAATTTCCAGAATTTGAGTAGGCATATGCTTCTATTTAATAGTGTATGTCACTCTAACACAATATTTTTGTTAGGGAGAAAATAAAGGATTCCTTGTCTGCAAGAAAAAGATGGTCACTTCCCCAGAAACTCTGTGTTGCTTCTGCCCTCAACCATTCAGACAGTTTCTTGAGTATGTGGTGAATTTGAAGTTTGACGAAGAACCGAACTATGCAAAATATATATCCCTTTTGATGGGATCGTTGGTCCAAATCCAGATATCAGGCCAATAAATACTGATGGTGCTCAGAAGGTACTTTTAATGTTCTTGCATCTATACAGACTGTTTTTAGGTACCATTACTTATGGACCTTGGCTTCAAAATGATCTAACTTACATTTGTTGCATTGTAAAGCTTATATGTCAAGTTGGACAAAAGAGAGGAAGATTGACCATGGAGGAGGAGGATGATGAGCAACCAAAGAAGAAGATTCGTATGGGGATGCCTGCAACACAATGGATTAGTGTATACAATGCTCGTAGGCCTATGAAGCAAAGGTATATTCATTAAAGTTACATACTGGACTCTGTAATTCAAATTTGACCTAGAGGTGAACTAAGTAGATGTTTCCATCTCCCGTAGATATCACTATAATGTTGCGGATGTGAGGCTCTCCCAACACATTGAGAAAGGAAATGAGGATGGGTTATTTATTAGCAGTGTGGCTTCCTGTTCAAATCTTTGGGCTCTTATAATGGATGCTGGCACTGGCTTCAGTTCCCAAGTTTATGAACTTTCTCCCTATTTTCTTCATAAGGTTTGTGTTCCATTAAATCTAGAATGGTTGTCTATCGAAGATTTGGATTTAGCTAGCTTTTGCAACTAGCATTGTTGTTTTTATGCATCGAATTATTTCTTTTATAATTTATACTACGCCACATGGATTATTATGATTGCCTGTGTAAGGAGATACATCAATCATGTCATTTATCTCTGGTTTTGAAGGAATGGATTATGGAGCAATGGGACAAAAACTACTATATCAGCGCAATAGCAGGAACTAGCAATGGAAGCTCATTAGTTGTAATGTCTAAAGGTTAGTCTAAGTATCTGTATCTGTATAGCTCGATTGCTTTGCCAATTTAGCCATCTAACTTGACCTCTATTGCTTCATATAGGGACACAATTCTTACAGCAGTCATATAAAGTCAGTGAGTCATTTCCTTTCAAGTGGATTAATAAAAAATGGAGGGAAGGATTTTATGTTACTGCAATGGCCACTGCCGGGAGTAGATGGGCTATTGTTATGTCCCGTGGTGCAGGATTTTCTGACCAGGTCTTATTTGGATTTCCAAATATGTATGTTGAAATACCATTTGGTGGTGAAGAAAAGTTTCTGATAAGTGTGTTTTGTCTCCCTTGAAATGAATAATTTCAGGTTGTGGAACTAGATTTCCTGTATCCAAGTGAAGGCATTCATCGAAGGTGGGATCATGGTTTCCGCATCACGTCAACTGCAGCAACTTGGGATCAGGCAGCTTTTGTCCTTAGTGTTCCGAGGAGAAAACTGGCAGATGAAACTCAAGAGACGCTTCGAACTTCTGCTTTTCCTAGTACTCATGTTAAGGTGGGTTATTTTATTAATTATTTTCTTCCTGTTTGTGGTTTCCATTTCATTCTTCTTTCTGAAGGCTCAAGTTTCTGTGGGAAATTGTGCAGGAGAAATGGGCAAAAAATCTGTATATTGCATCTATTTGTTACGGTCGAACTGTCTCATGAACAGCCAAAGTTATGTTGGGATGCCACTGATGAAATTCTGACGATTCACCTTTATGAACCACAAGCCAGCTTTTACCATTTAGTGACTGTTCAGAAGCAAAAATCCTCTCACGGAAAATTTGATTGGTCTTTGCATATGGGAGTTGATGTACGCTAAACTCTTCTTTATCGCCACCATAACATACATCTGTTACAAGTACTTGTGCACTGTCTTTCAATCTTTTGAGCTTATTTATATCTTTCATGTCCATTGGGAAGTTATTTATTCTTGCCTATCGTTAGAAAGATTGTATATTTCTGAGCAATAATTTCTCGGTTGAAGGCATGTGCACAAGTCATGTTTTGATTATTGATAGAATTTGGGAAAGTGCTTCTATGATTAGATGTGTTTCTGGACATTCTGAGCCCTTAAGTCTGTACTTAGTTTTCTTCATTTTTTTCCCGGGGGGTGAGAGAGCTCCTTTGTGGACTTTAAGATGAGATGTCTCAGTTTGACCTGAAAAACAGAAAACAGTTGTATACTTGAAAGCGTGAGTATGTAATGGTTTCTTAATTATTTTTTGTTTGTCTCGACCTCTTTCCAAACGCTTGTGTCCTTTGAATTACTAGCCATTGGTTATATACATTTCTGACCAATTCATGTCAGTATTACACATAAAGTTGGTGATATGAATATGCTAGATGTTCGGTGAATAAATGAATATCACAGGTTGAATAGTTGATAATTTTGGTCAAGGTCTTTGAAGCAGAACCACAATAGGGAAGGTTATATTGCACCAATTGATGAAGTAAGACCTGTGATGCCAAGAAAGGAAAGACCACCTATCTTAACATTGGTAAGTTGTAGGTCACAAGGAAATTTTATTCAAATTTCTCTTTATTGCAGTTTATATTGTGATTTTCTGTCTGGTTTTGTAGCTATATGGTTTCATTATCTATTAGACAGCACTCAGTTCTTTTATTATGCTAAATCTCCTTACCACTTCTTTCCGGTCGTCTCTTCATTTTTTTCATTTTTTAATCGTTTTATATGCTGTAAACCACCGTCTTTGTATTAGATATAGGTGAGCTGCATGTGTGTGTGTGGCTTTGTGGTTCTTGCATACCAGCCATGGTGATTCTATTGGAGAAAGTGGAAGTTGTCAAACCACAAGGTATGATATCTTTGTATTATTAACATTCCCCCCAACTACTACTGTTAAACTTCATGACATGACTGCCGTTTTGTGTGACTGCATCATTCTCATGCATTTCTAACTTGCATTTATGAGCCTGCTCTTGGTAATTACCACAAGAGAAGTACAAATTTGTCTTATTGTGTAACTAGTATCCACATTGGCTTCTGTTCCGTTTTGATGGATTTAGTGTGTATAAGATTACTGTGGATTAATGTTGGTTTTAGTTTGAAGCACCTTTTTCACGGGACCGATAATTAATTGTCCAACCACTACTGTTAAACTTCATGACATGACTGCCGTTTTGTGTGACTGCATCATTTTCATGCATTTCTAACTTACATTTATGAGCCTGCTCTTGGTAATTACCACAAGAGAAGTACAAATTTGTCTTATTGTGTAACTAGTATCCGCATTGGTTTCTGTTCCATTTTGATGGATTTAATGTGTATAAGATTACTGTGGATTAATGTTGGTTTTAGTTCGAAGCACCTTTTTCACGGGACTGATAATTAATTATCCAACTAAACAGACCAAAGTTTAGTATTAGCCTTATATAAATATTTTGTCTCTTTGCTGAAACTCCTGTTCATCTGTCTTAATTGGACAGAGTACTGAAGTTAGTGATACCAGAAGCAGGATGGGGAATGTTAGTTGGGAGAAATGGTTAAATGTTCTAGATAGTGCTTAGGAAAGTTAACCGATTTTTTCTAGGTATAAGAAACGTAGTTAAATGCAATAGAACAGATTAAGAGCTAGAAAAATGAATCTTGCATCACGAGTATACGTGTGCATATGCCGAAAAGCATTGTTCGGCTTGTAGGAAAATAAGAAATAAAACAAGTTTACGAATGAGGAGCCTTTACAAGCCTATAATTTGGAAGTTGTAATGGATGCTTTCAGTCGAATGACATGATTGAGTTAAGCGGCACACAACCTCTTAAAAAATGTTTAAGGAACTATGCATATTGTGCAAATTTCATTTATGCTCTTATTTTAATTGTATATCAGTCCAGAAGAAGAATGATGCAGTACACCCATACAATTACAACGTTCCTCTCAACTCCCCAAGCCATTTGGTTTTATTTCCAGTTGCAGAGACAAAATGGCCCCTTCTTAGCCCGGAATATGGCAATGGTGTGCAGAATTTTCTAGATTGAACTGACCAGACCGACTTGAATCTGGCTGGTCAGAAAATGCAGCCAGGTCATGAATTGGCATTTCAGAAGACGAATTGAATCTATCATGAACCAGCCGAGGCATGGTTGTTAAACAATTGTCGAATATAATCAAATTTTTACTGTGAGAATGATTTCAATTGTTGCCATCATCATCTGTTCAAATGTAAAAATTACTTACTCTTATCACTGTGGTTCCTTCCCCTTTTGGCAACAGACGTCTGCTGGTAGGCCATAGCAGAACTCGAGAGACGGTAACTTTTAAACATCATATGCAACGACCCATTTTTGTGAGTCTTTTCCTTTCCCAATATGACAACTTGGTTTTGTTAAGACATTTTTCTCAATATCAATGCCATCCTTAATCACAAAAGAAAATTAAAAAAGGACGATTAGCATCCAGCCATGAAGCGATTACTGAAGAGTTTAGGTTTAGGGTTAAGATGTTTGATAGAGGAAATGTTGAATGGATTTAGGAGTAAGTGAATAGATAAGACCACCTTTATCACACAACCAAAACCAACCCACCCACCCGGCGCCCCCAAAAAAGGACCAAATGATAAACACTGATAATTTTCGAGTGCGGATTGCACAGTAACTCGCAGAAAATTGGCGCCTGCATTGCATTGTGTTTAGGGCTTTGATTTGAAAATTTATGGGTTTAAGCTCAATGGTTTTGCTCTGCTCTGGATTCGAAGATTCCTGGCTATATTTAATAGCTTTAATAGAGAACGGGAGGAAGGAATGGGCTTGGTACGGCACACCTTGGGAAATTGTATAGCCAAGAAAGCGAAACGCATTAGAATTATGGAAGTTTCTACAATGCTTATGGAAAGTAGGCAGGCACCTTGTGCCGGTTCATGCCCTCACACAGCTCGAGGACAAAAATTTGACAAAACTGAGCTGGCTTTAGTGAAAAACCATTACGACAGTGCATGGAACCTCTAATGTGTTGGCCTTTGACACAATCTTCTCAATCTAACTCTTTCCTGGAGGAAATTAAGTATCATAACATCAGCAGTTACATACCTGAAGACATAATCGAAAAAAGAACAATACTTGCCTCGATGTTGTCATGATTATATCGAATTGAGAAAAGACACCTGCATCCCCTTATATCGTGCATTTTCCTTTGGATTTCAATAATATGAGCATCATAGTAGATTGCTTGATCTCTCCTCTCCTAATTATTACCAAGACACCAAAACGTGAACACTACCAACTTGAAACTGCTGTTGGTTATAGTACACCAAAACAGACTACAACTTCGGGAATTACCTGGAAGCAGAGGACAAGGTCTCCAACCTTCAAATTTTGACATTCTGAATGCTCCAGTGGTACAGAGCGTTCTCGCACTGCTCTTTTTACATTGACCCACTCATCTTCTTCGGCTCCAAATCCAACAAATCTGACACGAACTTCCTTTAATAAATGACAAAATCCATTTAATGAATTTATGTATGATTAGGACTGACTTTTGTACACTGTTTTCTAAATCTAAGTCTGGTCTCCAGTTAGATTTATATGGACTCAGAGTTCAGCCCACTGTAAATTGGAAGCAGTCAGCAGTATAATCATCAATAGGCAAAAGGTTACGATTTAAATACTTACAGTTTCCCCCGAACTAAGAGACCTGTGAGCAAGGAACGACTCAACATCATACCTGCAAAGTGATAAGAGATTCAGACTCAACAGAGAGCATCTAATTGGCAAAACATCACATTCAAATTAGAGTGTTGAGAAAATATTATCTTTCCATTACAATTACTATCAGGGTAGCTATGTTTGCACTAGGCAATAAGAACATACAATTCAAAGAGGCACAATTTTAGGAAATCTTTCATGGTCACTAACAAGTTGAATAGCAAAGATTTAGGAAATACTCATGCACTGAAACTGTACTTAAATCTTCATTATACCTTCTATATTTTGCCCCACCTCTTGTTTTAAAGTTGAGGTGGTTAAAAAGACCTTGAGGCATTAAACTTCTACTGTTGTCAGGTTAATTAAAGTGTGCATGATCATTCATTCCTTAAATCCTGCATCAAATGCCTCATATCAATCTTTTTTATGATTTAATATAAGCCTAGCTTTCCAAGCCCACCCAATTAAACACAAGGTCTTCCTTGTAGTGCTGAAAACCTTGTTAAGAGGTGTACCATAAAATACGCTAATAGCCAACAAGTTAGAGCTTATAGTAGTAATAACAAGAAACTGATGAACTGAACATAAAGGACCACCAAGAAATCCAATGACAAAGTCACCCTTGTTTGTATACTAACCATGCCCCATCTTTTGATGACCTTGCCTCAAATTCCAACTCTGATATGTTTCCGGTCTTTTCTTCTGCTTTCAAATGCACAATAGTAAAATTGGAATAAAATGATATGTGAATAATATTATGTGAAACAGAAACAGTTCAAACTTGAAATAACTTATTAGATATGACATTCAGTGGCTGGCTGATAATAGAATGACAAATTTATATAATACAGTTCAAAACTTCAACTAGCTCGGTTGGTTTGTGGTTCACTATTTCTCTATTTTAGCTATAATAAATGAGCTCACCATACAAAAATCAGATTTAACCAGTTTTCAAAAGCCTTACAAGCTTGCATAGTACTACAGCCTAGACATAAAAGCAACAAGAAGTTATGAGAAGCACCTTTAGGTATTTCAGAACTTCCAAGTGCCTTATTCGAAGGGCGAATTCCCTGTTGCTCAGAGATATTTTTGGACACGTTTGGCAACTCTTGCGCTCTATTCTGCAACCAACTTTGCACCTAAGACAATTGCAACAGAGTAGGGCTCTAAAAATGATTAATCAAGGACACCTTATGGTAACAATAGCAACAACAATATCATGGTATTATACAGATATACTGCAATAAAAGTAAAGGAAGAGAGAGCGAATGAAATGTGCAACCTCGGTCCATTTCACAATCGGTTTCCCAGCACGACCTGCGGAGCGACTGCATAAGCATAACAAGCCAAAGCAAGACTTAGAGTAGGGACAAAAATGTCTCCGAAAGAAGAATCAGTAACCATGAAATGAAACTCACTTAAAACATTTTGCAATATTTTGACAAAATTGTCGCTCCAGCACTTGTTCTCCTAATTCCCTTAGCAATCTCTCCATTTTCTGAGTCTGTTCATAATGTTGGTGGAAAAAACCAAATAAAAGAAAAGCGCAATTAATTTCAACAGATAATCTCCAATTAATGATTGAATTCCACTGTATTGAGTGAGCATGCGAGTTTTCTACTGACTTATTAACAATGGCATTCTTCAAGACATGGAAATCAGACAACGTAAATCACATTAGACAGTCTATATTTTCAAAAGAAGACCGCAGAAGCCGGATGATAAGTAATTTTCAATAAACAAGCAATTCCCAGATAATGATAAAGGAAAAATAAATGAATTTAATAGAAAAAGGTGGAGAAGGAAGATAAATTTATTCATTACCTCGGCCTTTGTAAAGCCAATGTGAACCTCTCTGTGTCTTGGACGAAGACGCTCCATTCACTCTCTCTCTCTGAAACCCTAACTTTAAACTTTGTATATTTGATTCATTTCCCACTCTCCCTTTCTAATGGAAAACCCTAGAACTTCGTACACCAAGCACCTTTCTGTTCTGATTTCTTTTTTTGATTTTTTTAGTCTTCAAACAGAGCTCACTGTTCTGTACTTTCACGTTTGACATGGAATGGAATGTCTGCTGTCTGCCTTTTTATGGACTTCGCTTTCCCACATTGGAAAGTGAAGACAGGCTGAATTGATATGGTGACAACTCAAAGCCCAGCCCAGCCCAGAAGAGTGTTCAGGCTCCCTGTCCATTTATGGGAACCTGATCCTGTGGAGTGGGGTAGGGTTTGGATGATTTGGTGAAAAAATATGAGCTGGGGTGGAAGAGGCACTTTGCACTTGAAATTCAGATATTGGAATACCATACTTTACTTGCTGTGTTTAGCTAAATGTATGGTCTGTTGTAAGTTGTATCATTAGGCATATAATTAACAGATAAAAATTAAATTATTGAAAATAAAAAAGTTTTTTCCGCTGCCAGGAGTCAAACCCGGATGATAAACTCAAACCATTTTATTGGGCTACAGCGGATTGGATGCTATTGATGGGAAAAAAAATAATATAAATGAACATTATTAGACATATAATTTTTTTTTTATAAAGAAAATTATCAAAAAATTAAAAGAGGTTTTCCACTGCCGGGATTCGAACCCAGATGATTAACTCAATCCAATTTATTGGGCTACAGCAGATTGGATGCTATTAATGGGAATAAAAAGCTATATAAATGAAAACTATTAGGCAAACAAAAAAGATAAGGAAAATTATTTAAAATAAAAATAAAAGCTTTTCCGTTGTCGGGATTCAAAACCAGATGATAAACTCAATCCAATTTATTGGGCTACAGCAGACTGTTGCTATAAATTGGAATAACAATTATATATATATCATGAAACATTGTTGCAATTTATATCTTACCAATATTAACCCTCTTTGGCAAATATGTAGTGCTGTACATTTAAACTGCAAATACCGGAAACCGGTGGTTTTTTATTGATATTTCTGTTTAGAGTAGATTATCATTTATATAAAAAAAACATATATCATTTTTTAAATAAAACTCCAATTTTCAACTAACGTGCAACTTAATATCGTTAGTCTTTCTTTTTCTTTTTCAACGTCTATGCAAATTTGATGATTGAATTGCCTTTTTTATTATTATAAAGAAATCTCGATGGTACGAGAGGACTTTATTTATAATCAACATTCAAAAAATGGAGGACATGAAACCTAACCCGAGTACAATCATTAGTAGTTATCTAAGCATGAAGGATGAATGCAAGGCCGGAGTGGCAGCACTTAAGGCAAAGGGCAGCTAAATTATGAAACACGAGTATAGGAATATACAGAGAGCTTCCATTGAGGGATCCCTCAAATAAGTTTATTTGAGGGATATCCCTTGTAGGCCCCACTCCGGATTGTATTTCACTAATCCAAACCGTCTATTTTGTAGATACTCATTCAAAGATCATCTATACAAAAAATCACTTGAATCCGATATCATTTGACTACTCAATTGAGTTATTGAAATTTTAGTACTTTCTTGAACACCATGTTCATTGATTTTATAAGACACAATTGGATGTCGAAACGGTTTCAGATTTATCTAATTTTTTGTAAGGATGATCTATGAATAAAGACCTAAAAAATAGATGGTTTGGATCATTGGGAAAAAAATTGTAGGGTACCCTAAAGGGCGTCCCTCAAATAAAATTATTTGAGGGATCCCTCAATAGAAAGGGACTGTAGGAATATATATATATATATATATATATAATATCAGCATTCAAAACCTACTTGTTTGTTGGGGTCAATTTTTTTGATTGTCTCATATTTTATGTGGAGAATTATCAAAATCCCACCAACTTGGATGTACAAGTTTCTCATAATAATTGTTTCATTTGTTTTACATGCATATATATAATATATTAATTCTTTAACGTGCAAACAACAAAGAATGAATTAAAGATTTTGTTTTCTTCCCATAAGATATATCTCATTAGGTCAGCATAACATAACCACAACAAATTTAGGGATTTTATACTTCTTGTCCCATTCTAGTCTAAGATTTTTCTTAGAAAAATAATACGCAACCATTAGGCATACGCCGTTGTACAATGTTGATAAATACATATTATATATATATACACTGAACTCACATACATAACACAGATACATATATTATATTTATTATTAATAATAGTGCGCACATGTAACATAATAATAATTATTAATAATTTGATACTATGTGTGAGTGAATATATTGGTCGCGATTTTAATAATAAACTACATGTCGTATTACTTGTTTCAGAGACGGCTGCAGAGTCCAAGTCTCCAACCAGCATGGTAATTAGGACGAATTGATCGGCCAAGAATTGATAAATTTGCTGGGGTAGTTCCGGATGTGCCAACAACTATTTTATTAACAGACCAAAGAAAATCACGCAGCCATCAACCATGGAAGAAAGCAAGTACGAAGTGTTTGAATATGTTGCCTACCCTTCATATTCATAGAATCATGCGATCTGTGTTAGGTGCGACGCCTTCTCTTCTAGATTTTTTAAGTGTATTGGAGAACAATTTTGTAGCACGTAATCACAAGACACCCTTTTCTTATAAGCCGAGATGATGTTCGAGTAGTTGCATGTGAAAACAAAAAGGATTTTATTTATTTAAATTTTCATGATTACTGACAAACTTTCGAAATGAATTTGGATCGGCTCATTTTAAATTTTATTAGTGGTTTGCGGGTGATTCCATACACTATTTATGTGTTACTAGTATTCGTCAAATTTTGATTAAAAATAATGTCCAAGGAAAAGGGAAAGGAATTTTTTTGACTGGTCTAAGTAAAAATTACACAAATTATGGTGCTGTTCTTTCACGATTACAAAGTTCAAACGCGTATTAGCTTACAATAGAATGACAAATTGCGCATATGAATGCGAGAAATTGTTTTCTCCTTCTTACCCACAAAGAACGCTGCAAAAGTATTCTTGCTTTTTCTTTATACGACTAGCCAGTCAATTTCTCTGTCTCAAAAATTTATTTCGTGGCGTACGTGCCATTTTTCTTTGATATCTTTCCATTTGTTGAATAAATCTCTTATTTTAAAAGAAGAGAGTAGACTAGAAAGTAAAGTTTTTCTTTTTTCGATATTAAAAGAGCTCCTGAGTTCGAATCTCCTCTTTTCCGTTGATGAAAAAACCAAATCATGGGTTTTGAAGGAAATACAAAAAGGAGAAATTAATTGCATAGAAAGCAAAGGCTAAACTACAGGCACACAGAATGGAAAACGCGGCGTAATTATGAATAGAAAGTGATGAGCATAATGGATGGTAGAGAGGTAGGGTAGGTTGGCAAGCTTTTATGTTATAGTGACGGGGGGGTCAAGTCAATTTTGGCAAAATAATCAAACAAAGAAATCATGACATTATAGCATATGTGCAGTAATATTTGAGCTTTTAAGCAACAAGGAGGAGAGTGGTTTTTAATTTCATGGCATTTCAATCTCTTACAGCTATGTGGTTAGGTCGGCAAATTTAAGGCCATGCTTTAGACGAACATAACATTTGAACAATAAACAACTGCGGTAGGGTTGTTGAGTTTATATATAAAATAAACAAATTATAGATATAATAACAGGACAGCGACCAAAGAAAAGGGTTTAGTTTAATGGCAGCCAAGATTCAGCTTTTTAATTTAGTGGTTGCGATTTCACAAAATAATTTATCTTTTTCTGTCGCAGCACATTGATGACCATAACCAACATAGAAGATGCATATCATGAATTGGGAAAATCATGCACAAGGAACAAAAAAGTAATTTCAATATATTTGTCCGAATATTGAATATAAACGTTAGTTTAAATTAGATGGTAGAATGATTTTTCATAAACACAATTATGATACCGTGGGATTTAAACTTAAGACCTCTTGTGTGCGAGTCAATACTATTTTCCACCGACTTAATTGTTGATCAAATATGTGAGCTCAATAAATAATGATGCTAATTTAATTGATTTTTCCCTCTCTACAAACTCTGTCGTGGAGGGGACATAATATTTGCAGACCTCCAATATGATGTCGCTGAGCAGGCACAATTTCCTGGTACGCGTATAATAAAACTATGCCATGTTATTGCACGGCTGACATGCCCTTTCAATAAAAGTCGGCATTTTTTTATTAGTTGAATAATTTTGTACACGTGGGTTCTTCTCTTTGACATTGAAAGTTTGAAACCTACCTAGTTTTTCAGTCCATTGTAATGGTGAACCCAAAAAGGTAGGCAATAAACCCAAATCTTACTCTTGAGTTTGCTATAAAAGGTGGGGTTTGGTTTTTGGTCTCTGCCAAACAAGTCTGCTGCTTTGCCAAATTGCCTGTGTTGGTGCTTTGGTTTTCTGCTTCTGCCATTGCAGCTCTACATTGTTGCTCTGTAAGCCTTGTGTTATTTGCAGAAGAGACTAGTAAGAGAGCAAAAGGTTGGAGCTTTGATGGGGAGCTTATTGAAGGAGATAAGGAACGGTGGCCACTCAGTGGCTGATACTGAAAGCAAGGCTGGGTTTGGTGGAGGTGTTGAGGACGTGTATGGTGAGGATTGTGCCACGGAGGATCAGGTCCTTACACCATGGACTGCCTCTGTTGCAAGGTGACACAGACAGCTCTTTTCTAACCGTTATGGCATAGTTATAAATGGTGTTTTTAATAATAAAAAAAATTGTGTTTTTGCATTTTGTCTGGAACTGATCATAGTTGTCTCTACATGTTTTTTTTCTTTATTTTTTTAAAAAATTTATAAAATTTTTGCTCCTTTTTAGATAAGTGTCTGGAAATTCGTGTTTTAAGGCTCAATTTAGTTTGCAGGTTTGGGCTATAGATCAAATGGTAGACCTTTTTCAGTTGGTTTCTCTGACAAAACTTTGTTTTAGATTCCAA